TGCTGAGTTTGAAAGGTCAAAACATATAACATCAGCTGCTGAACTCAGACACTAGAGAGCGGTTTTGCTACATGAGTCTCCAAAGACAGGCCTGCACCGGTTCAACAGGCAGCACTTTTGCAAGCCTGGGCAGCTGATCTAGCAAGCAAGACACTGCAATCGAAGGGCTTGCGGGCGGCAACAAAGCTCTATGAAGCATCCGCCAGTGCGCCGACATGTTAGTGGGTTTGCTTCAGAAGCAGAATCTGCGGGCAAAAATCGTGCTTCCTATAAATCTGGTTCATCCGTCGTGCCTCGCAAGCTCCTGAGGACAAGGGCGGCGGAGCTGGGCCGGCACAGAGCCTCGAGACCAGCAAACCGAAAAACATCGCAAAGGAACACTGTCGACTTGGCACCCAAACACACACTGCCGCGGTTCATGTCAGATGCTCAAGGTCTCAGAGTGAGATGTGTCAGGATAAATTTGAATGCAACTCGAACACACGGTTGCACCTAAAACGCAGAGGAGACTTTTGCAAACACCATCAAGCATCGGTCTGCTGTCTGAACATCTTAAAAAGTTCTGGGACACAAGCAGTACCAGCGGCGACCTTCAGACGGACCTGAGGGCCTGGGGACCTCATCAAAATTCGCTGCCTCTGTTCGTGCTCGCCCCGTGCCTGGGCTGACCTCCGAAACTGCAGGCCCAGTTGGAGAGGTGCTCAGCTGGATTGGCTCTCGGACAGTGAAGCAAGCTGCCGCTGAACCTTCGTCAAGTCCTGCTGATTGACTCCGAGCTCCAGCTTCAGCTCCTCGATATGGTCTTCCAGTTTGCGCTTGCGTGACTGCAAGTGCACTGCCTGGGCTTCTTGGATCAGCTTGCACATCGGCACCGCATCTTGCGTAGTTGTTAGGGTCATACGGCAGGCCGCCTGGCGCACAATCATGTCGCCAAATCTGACCTTCTCCCAGGCAACAGCAGCTGGCAAGAGCCAGAAGCTTCCAAGAGGGTGGTCAATTGGGGCACTCTTCTGCAGGAGATGCGGCACACTCATCTCCAGGAGTGCAAGATGCTCAGTCTCGTAAGCAAAGAAACCCACGCCCATCGCCGCTGTGCTGGAGGAACACAATGGAAACACCGGGCCCGGGTGGACCTCC